TTCTACATAAGAACAGAGTGAACGCTGTGACCTGGACAAGAATGTGGTCTGACTGGAATCTAATAGAACTCCTGTTTCAAAGAGAAAAGTGGAGCAACTCAACCCCTCCAGCAAAGAGCAGCTTAAGAAAATGTGTAATCCTGAAGGTGGACGCAGGAAGTAGTGAAGAAACTAATGATTGACTTCTGCTGCATCGAGGTCCGACTGTGGGGCTTGAATTTTTAATATAGTAAATTTAAATTTTTACATCAGAGCAAATACTCTACTGTTCTACTTAGAAGTAATCTGATTACTGTAATTTGGTCCAGTGTTGAATCCTTTGATATTTAAGTGATGTTTCTTCTGTTTCATGCTGTATCTAATATATCATTTTTTGGTCCTACTTTTCCAGACAGAATGTGAAATAATGTGTGAGGGAGACTTTTATGAAGCTGGTGTCGCTGTAGCCGAAGTAATTGCTCAGAGTTGTGCGTCTTCTCCTGTTTTCTGTTGTGTAGAGGCGGCCCGCTGTTACCACATGTCGTCTTTTGTGGAGACCAAAGCTTTGGAGCATCTCACAAAGTCACCAGTGGAGTTTGTGGAGTATCCCTGGCGACGGTTGCCGCGGTGACAGCATGCCATGGCAACCACTTCTACGCTTTCTTTGTGTTCTTCTTCTTCTTCCTCTTTTGATGCCTTTTTTTTACTGCAAAAAAAAAAAAAACCTTCAGAAATCCGAAGGTTTAGATTGAATTTTAATGTCAATAGCAGCAGTGTTGTCGCTGGAGGAGTCCATACCGACGTGTACCACAAAAGTGTCGCATTGCCGACACGTAAACAGATTTCTGTTTTACATGTCAGCGGCCTTATGTCCCATCATGACCCCTCAGATCTTCTTCTGCTGGCTTTCTGGCTCCACAAAACCAAAAATGAAAATTGGTGTAGCTTTTTTTTTTTTTTTAAGCTGTGAAATAGTCCAACCAAAGATATCAGATCTATTTTCAGCCTTGACTTTTATTTAGTTCAACCTACTGTCATATATGTGATGTTATTTATATTTAAAGCTCGTTCTTTAGTATTTAATTTGCTTGTATAGTTTTTATTTAGTGTTTTCTTCTGGGATTAATGAGGGGAAAACGAACGAACCAACTCTGTAATGATCCTCAACCTTCCATCAACCAGATATAATAAATCTCAGCTGAGCCGAATCTACCCGAAAGGAACCAGAGTGGATTCGTCGAACTTTATGCCTCAACTGTTCTGGAACGCCGGATGTCAGCTGGTGGCGCTCAACTACCAAACCATCGGTAAACGTTCAGGCGCCTTTAATGTAGAAACGTTTGTCTTTTAAAGTCACCAACAAATTCCGACAGATTCAGTTTGGGAGTTAAGTTTTGGCGTTCAAGGGCTTTAATTTATAGTAATTTATAGTAATTTATAGTAATTTATCTAAACGTGATTAGGGAGCATTTATGATTGCTGGTATAGCGTTTAACTTCTCTAACTTTCTATATAGTAGAACAGAATGATGTTTGGGATTCCACTGGGAAAACAACAAACAAACAAACAAACAAACAAAAAAACCCCCTGTAAACTGTAAAATAAAAAAAATAATAAAAAAGAAAGACTAAATACAACAATTTTCCACAATTAAAATACATTTTCTAGCCTTTTTTTAATGTTTAATGAGGGACATTTATTTGGCAAAAAACTATGAAATTACCTTTTTATATTTTATATATTAATTATTGAGATTGATTGTGATATGTGGTGATTTGTTATAATATTTTAGACATTTTTCTATAATAATATTTCTAATTTTAGAAATGTATTTATAGTATGAAACTGAATTTGATCTATTAAATAAAAATGGGAATGTCTGTGAAAAAAATTCTTTAATAAAACATGGGAATCATTTTAATGTTATTTTCTATTAGACAAGAAAATTCACAGGAAATTTGAAATGTAAAATTGCTTCTTTTTTCCCCCCATTTGGGGGAATGTTGCAGACTTAGATCCCCTCCCTGTTTAAGATGACTTCTCTTTATCACAAACTGATGAAGATCCAGCCCTGAAACATCAAAAATAAACTTAATTTTGACAGTTAGATGCTGTGCCGGAGTCTAGGGTTAAGCTTATTCTATACATGATGCAAAGAGTTTTGATTTTTGCTGACTGAAAATGAATCTAAATTCTAAGTAATCCCTTTTCCTTTCATCCTGTATCTCTAAACCTAACGTCATCTTCTTGATCCAGACTTGTCCATGCAGCTGAACCTCTTCATGTTCGAGTACAACGGTCGTAGCGGCTACAGGCTGAAGCCGGAGTTCATGAGGCGTCCGGACAAACACTTCGACCCGTTTGCAGAAAACACGGTGGACGGCATCGTGGCGAACACGCTCTCTGTCAAGGTAAATCTGTTTATTCTGGTTATGCAGATTTCTTTTTGCAACTGATGTTCGAGTAAAAGTCAAGCAGTTATTGATAAAGATGCCCAATGTCTTGTAGCATCTTTTTTTCCGTTCTGATCAGAAAAATGTAAAAACAATTACGACTGTCAAGATGAAATTCAATTAATTTCAATTTCAATTAATCATTAACTCCACAGAAGTCTATGTCATGATGCCTGTGGACAGTTAATTATCTTGTCCTAATATTGCTGTTTTGTCACCACACACATAACTTTGGTTCCAATAACAACATAACAACAATAAGAGGCTCCACCTGGTGGAACAACCAGGTACTACAGCTGAGCTATGCTACATTTACTGACATCATGTAGAGATTACAGGTGTTCTCCATCTGTTGGAGCTGGTGGAGTGATGATACTGGAAAATGATTTTTTTTCTTATACTTTGCAGAGCTATTCAGTTGAAGTGTGTATTTGTGTAAATGTGATCAGATTGGGGGTTAAAATCCTTTACGATAGCACACTTCGACTCCACACTGAACCTTTTCACATTTCTGCAGCCCTCAACAGAAAACGCTTCAGTTTACACACAACAGAGATCATCACTGATGTCGTCCACGTGTACGTTCTCAACACATTTCTAAGAGTTTTATTTTTTCTATTTCTGCCCGTCACAGGTGATTTCAGGCCAGTTCGTGACGGAGCGGAGGGTTGGCGTCTACGTGGAGGTGGAGATGTTCGGACTTCCTGCAGACACCAGGAGAAAAGCCCTGAAGACCAAAACCTCTCAGAACAACAACGCCGTCAATCCGGTGTGGGACGAAGAGCCGATTGTGTTCAAAAAGGTGAGACACATGCCATGTGATCACTAATATTCAGAATTACAAGTCTAGGAGCCTCGTTTGTTGCAACAGCGCCACCTACCAAACCGGATGATCACTAAAGTGCTAGCTAGTGGTTTTAAGGGTTTATTTCATCCAACTGATAGATTTAAAGACAGTTCCATCCAAAACTGTTGTCTTTTTTAGCCATTGTCTGTGGGCTAGTAAAGCTATCTGGAGTAAACGAGTGGTCGCCTCGTTATCTGAGCCAACAAAGAAAAACAAAGGTCCTACAGCTGCAGTCCTGAAGAAGCTGCCTGCTGGTGACATACTGCTAAAAACTCACAGTAAAATACAGTAGAACAGTCCTGAATCTCTGCAGTGTTACTACTGTCAGTAAATTAAACAGTTAATGACAGTTAATGCATTTTACTTTTTGCAGTAAACTTCTGGCACCTGTGGTTGTCATTTAAGTACATTTAATTACTGTATATGTGATTATAGAACCCTAGAATATGAGGTTTACTGTTTAATTCTGTATCTAGACTTTCCAGTAATGTACGTATTTTGTGTTGCCACTCTATTCAACATTAACTGTAGTTATTTGTTTTCAACAGACACCATAAATAACTCTTTAATCTTTATGACTGAAGGTTGAGAACTCTGTTTAATAGTTAAAAATGCTTATAGCACAAATTAAGATAATATATAAAATAGAATATGACAAATTGTAGTTTAATAGATGCATTTTAGAAACCAAGACAAAATCATTTAACTCAATGTTTTAAAAAAAAATAAAAATAAAAACAGTATAAGCTGATCCAGTCCCAGTTTGAAGCAGTGCTCCCTGCTGTGCAAAACTTGTTTTTGCCTCCAAAAATGCAACAGATTTACATTTTTCAACCATATTTTGGACAAACCGGATAGGCCGTGGTTGTATTTCTTTCGGTAGCTGATCACAGTCTGGTATCGTGTGATTCTTATTAACGCTGCGACTTCGACTCTCTCTCAGGTGATCCTTCCCACTCTGGCTTCTCTGAGAATCGCTGCTTTTGAGGAGAGCGGGAAGTTTATTGGTCATCGAATTATTCCAGTTTCTGCCATCAGACCCGGTATTTCCCTCGTGTTTATTTCAAGCCTTCATTAACACTCCTTTGTTCGTATTTAAATTTTTTGTTATCTGAGGTGTTCGCTGCTGTGGTATCTGAGTTACATTCTGTTTTCTGCTTTTTATTAACCCTCTGAACCACAAAAACAAGCCAGCGACGTTGAGAGGCATGTTGTCTTCATAAAATTACCAAACTTAAAGAATTTAGCAGAGCGAGAAACTGTAAAAACATGAAAAAAAATCTTGTGCTTTTAGCTTTCCATCAGTCTTTGAACTAATCAGGAGTAATGCACTGTTCAATTTGGACAATTAACTAAATCTGAGCCTAAAATTGCGATATTTCTGCACGCCTACTCACACTCGCTACGCTTCCAGTTTCCCAGAAGCCACTTGGGGTTCAGAGGGTTCAGAAGAAATGGGTTCTGCTCGTGTAAATGCAGGACAATGTCAGAAAACTTGACAGCACTTTCCTGAACTGTAATTATGATGTACTGTGTCAAAAGGTAGCGCAGAGTAGAAAACTGCCATTTTCTCAGATGCATTTTACCTCCTGGGAGAAGCACTTTTTAAAAAATCCAGAGACCTGACGCTGCTTTTACCACTTTAACTGGAATAACTGATCATTTTTGCTTCTAATGTGACTTCACTTGTGCTTTAGCTTCTCTCTCTGCCCTCATGTTGCCTGGTTATGAGATATCGTATATTTACGTGCTTTAATAACCCAGACGATGGTTGTATCAGTACTATATCAGGTTTTTCTCTGCAGGTTATCGTTACATCGGCTTGAGGAATGAAAAGAATCAGTCTCTGATCCTACCGGCTGTGTTCGTCTACATCGAAGTCAAAGATTACGTCCCGGATACGTTTGCAGGTACAAACTTCTGTTCCTGGTGGAGTCAGACAGCTAATTGATAACTGTGACCAAAGTCTTATTAATTAGTTTTCAGCAAATCGCTGGAGGCAAAATTCCTTTGCTAATTTTTTTCTCTTTATGCAAACAAACTGCATTAGAAGGCATCAAGAGTAAAATAAGATTTAGAAATTAACCTTAAAAATCTGAAACAACTGCTAAAGTTCTGTGTTTTTAATTGCTAATAAAGGTCATGAGATAATTATAGTTTAAAGCGTATAAGATGACCAGTTAAATCTCCAGACTTTAGCTCGTTTAGTTTGGCTGCTGATCACTTTGTTCAGTAGATTAAATCTCTAAAAGTCTGAACAAGAGCTTCAATTAAATCTACAGATAAAGTTAAATCATGCACACTTTAATAAAAAACAGTATTTCAATAATCTTAGTCGTATTTTGGTTAAAACTACCTGGTTGTATGTGGTTCACTGGTGAGGTTGTGTCTGTTTGGGACCAACAGCTGTAGACAAAAGATTGAGTAAAAACACATTCACCCAAAAAGTATGTAAAAGTACGACTTGGTTTCTGTAATTTAACAAGAAAGAAAAAAATCTTGCATGAATTGTTTTTAATGTAAAGCATTGTTTTGCATTGTATTTGTAATCACTGTGTTAATGAACTCGTCCAGCGAGCAGCTCAGCATTCATGTGTTTCTTCACTCTTCCTCCAGATGTGATCGAGGCTCTGTCCAACCCCATCCGATACGTGAACCTCCTGGAGCAGCGCTCCAAACAGCTGGCAGCTCTGACTCTGGAGGACGGCGAGGAGGACACGCAGCCGGAGGTCAGTTTGTGCTTCATTCAGTCTTCATCGTCAGAGCTGAACGTCTCACTCTAAGTCTTCTTATGTCCAGGATGAAGTCGACAACAGCGCCGAGCGGAAGAACGATCTCAAATCGGCTCCGCTGGAGAACGGACTGAGTCCCACCTCTGGCCCAGCAGGCCACACCCCCATCGCCACCACACCTAAAGCTTCTGCAGCCAATCAGCAGGCAACTACCACAGGTAGTACATTTTATACACATATGCTAATATTATGCATTTACCAGGGAAAGAACTACCTCTAAAAGTACGTACGTTCAAGTTTTGTTGCAGAATCATTTAATATTTGTTATCTCCTGATACCGAGTCCCAATCTGACACCATTTTCTAATGATACACCCTTCGAGTACAATAAAGTTATTAAAATCTATCCAGTTTGCATCCTCTACCACTAAATATCTCTGCAGTGCATTCAGAAAAATACTGCATTTGTTGGTCAGGACCCTCGTAGTAAAGCTCCAGCAAAACACAATCTGATACGTAGAGGTAGAGGGTAAATGTAGAGTTAGAGGGTAAAGGTACAGTTAGAGGGTAAAGGTAGAGTTAGAGGGTAGGATGTTGTGAGGCTCCAACAGATGGAGAAACTCTGTATTCTCTCCATGATGTCCGTCAACGTATCGTAGACCAGCTGTAGTACCTGGTTGTTCCACCAGGTGGAGCCTCTCACTGTCTAATACTGTAGAGACCAGAGGAGGCGTCACTCAGACTACAGTTCATGTTGGCAGCAGAGAGCATTGTGGGAGTTTAGCAGCAACAGAACCATGACAGAGACTCCTGTGACGCTTAATGAGATCCAACCAGATTCATGTGTTTAAGACAAACTGGGAATATCCTCATTTCCTGTGTTCCACATGTACCAGAGCCACCACTGTAGCCCAAATCATGCACCTGTTTACTAAAACAGCAACATTAGAACAGCATAAATGTCCTCTGTGCTTCGTTTGCATCATCAATTAATCAGTTATCGATTCATATTGAACTATTTATAAAGGAAATTACTCACCAGCATCCTGCCAAACGTTGTGCTTTTCCTCCACGACGATTTGTTAATAAATGCTTTGATCAAATCGAGACATCGCTGTAAAAACACGCTGCTAAAACTTAGGATAAAGACATTTTTAAAATTTTTATTGTGTTGTTTGTTTTGTTGTTGCTGATTTTCTGTTTTCTGTGTTTTAGAAACGGCCAAACCAGCAGCAAAGACTGAGGACCTGGTTTTAAGCATTTTGATAGGTCAGTTTCTACATTATGCTTTCTAATAATTTGTTCATGGTTTCAACACTGAGTATTAATGGTTTATGCAACTATGGCCACTCAGGGGACAAGTTTTGGGTTTGTCTTGCTGGTTCTGGTGGCTTCCATTAATTCCCTTACCTGAATATTTAGTTTTAGCAAAGCTTTGAGTATTTTCACTCCTCAAAATAAATATCTATCCATCCATTATCTCTACACCTTAATCCTCACTAGGGTGGTGGGGGGCTGGAGTCTATCCCAGCTGACTCAGGGTGAAGGCAGGTTCACCTGGACAGGTAACCAGTCTATCACAGGGCTACACTTAGAGACAGACAACCAAGCACACTCACATTCACACCTACGGACAATTTACAATCACCAATTAACCTCAACATGTTTCTGGACTGTGGGAGGAAGCCGGAGAACCCGGAGAGAACCCACGCTGCACGGGGAGAACATGGAGACTCCACGCAGAAAGATCCCGGTGCCCTCCAAAATAAATATAAGACAGAAAAACTTAACGACAGAGGAAGGGAACAGCAGGTTGTTGCACATTACAAGATGCCTCATGCTTGGTTCGTATTAAAGATGGGTTTTTTTACAGAGCTTTTCTGTGCAGAGGTCGCTCAAGAGAGTTCAAAAGCTTCAGTTTGTGTCTTTAGTCAGCAATATATGTCATTTCAACAGTCAGTACATCATGTTAATGCACCTAAACACACCATCAGTGGTGTTTCTGTCGGTCTTCAGCTGTTTGGGGTCTTTGAACATCACGTATCGTCGCCCAGGTGACCCACCGGGGGAAGATGAAGCCACCCACAGTTGTCTATTACATAAAATATCCACACGTCTGTCAAAACACAGCTTTTAATGTGACTCATGCAGATCTGAAGCGTCTGAAACAATAATGTCAACATTAAAACACCCACTGAAGTCCTGTCAGCTGCCCACAGCTTCCTCTCTGTCGCATTCTTTCCTTTGACTTTAAGAAAAACCTGCAGCTTCGCGCGGCGGCAGCAAAAATGATGAGCGAAGAACTGCAGCAGCTTCACTAAAGCAGGATCTGGTGGTTAAATAATGTTCTGGGTTCTCTGATCTGTCTAAAAGGTCGGCTCTTCCACACAGATTCCAGGTTTGTATGGTGGGATTGTTTGTGTTAAAGCTTCTCTGGATGAATCTGAGCTTCATCGCAGCTGCCAGGACGTTTCTATTGAGAAAAGCTTCTGCCACTGTTTAGAAAAGGTGCTTCTGAGAACGTTGTAAATCATTTTCAGTTCAGAAATGTGGGTTCTTCTGCTGCCTTAACAACTGATTGAACCGTTCAAAGTTATCCGATGAGTAGTGAAAATGTAAAACTTCATAAATAACTAAATAAAACTGAACTGAATTGAAAACTTGAGTTAAATCAAGTGAAGACAGTGAGTTGAATCAACAAATGAAGTTTTTTTCTTCATTTAACTTTGAGAAATCGCGGCCTCAGCTGAGCATTTTGCTAATTTCAAAGAACAAGGTTGAATTTCTGAACTGGTGAGAGCGTTTGTTGGAAAACAAAACAGAATTCACACATCTGTAAGTTTTATTTTGGTAAAAAATCAAAAGGTATCATTAGTTTTTAACTGATAGTCTCTTAGATTAAGGGAATTAGTCTGTAAGATCTAAGTTTAAGCCTTCAAAGGTATCTGTTTATTGATATTTATTAATTTAAGTTACACAATATGACATTTTTAACCTGTTAAGTTAATGATACAGACTACTATTGCATTGTTTATAACATAAACTAATGTTAACTGTAATTATGTTGTTGATAACTGGTGTTTTTCAGTTTGGTTTGAAAGTAAAAATCAGACATTTATTTACAACAATTACATGAGAAAAGATGATGTTTAACAGGGCAGGTTCAAACAGAAGCTTCAGGACAGTAAATCATGTTTAATATGTGATGTCACGATACGTCTCAGCCGTCTGAGCCGTAACAGAAAACAATATAACGATGTCAGTAACAGAGTTTACTGTCTCTGTGGTCACTGGTGCCAACAGACGTCCCGGTTTGCTGCATGGAGAATCTGCAGCAGAGCAAAGTCTACCAGAAGGAGCAGCGACGCCAGTTCAAGGAGCTGAAGGAGCTGGTGAGGAGACACCAGAAGAAAACCGCCGAACTGCTGCGAGAGTTCAACAACAAGTACAAGAAGACGGCGAGACAGTGCAGCAAGAGCAGGTACACAAACACACCAACACACTGTGTTGTTTCTGTAGCTGATGCCTTTTGTCCCATTGAAGTCGAGTTGGCAGGAAAATATAAAACCAACGTGGATATTTTTAGCCACGAGAGTGAAGGTATAAAGACAACAGATTATCCCTGACGGCTACTGTTCAGGGTTTTCTGAGAAATATCTGTGACTGTAACTGGACAAAGACGGCAGGAAAATGGTCTTTTCTGACTTAGAGATAAAGTTTAGGATCTAATTTCTCTTATTGTGGATAGAAAAGGGTTCAGTTTAGCCAACTGTACACAAAGAGTTCAACTAGTAACAAATCCTGTTCAAGTGTGGCTTTAAAGGTAAATGACATTGACCTTTTTATGTAATTATTTATTTTAAATTCTACATGTTAGTGTTTACTATTATGCACCAAAAAGTCAAATTCCTGCATGTGAAACAATACTTGACGATAAAACCGAGTCTGATTCTGAAAGAGAAATATCAACTATGAATCATCACACTGATAAATGACCACCAGCCCCTCCAGAGTTCAGTGTATGAATACCGTCAGCATCTAAGACTCCATGAAGTGTTCATGTGTATATATGACAGATAATCAGCTACATGACCACAGAACACGTCACCAGTCCAGAACCAGTCCAGAACCAGCATAAAACCAGGCACAAACTAGTTCTAAAACCAGCCCCAAAACATCATGAAAACATTCAAAAACCAGTCCAAAGACCACCTTAAATTCTAAAACTAGTTCAATACCCATCATAAACCAAGAAAAAGAAAAAAGTCATAAAAGTCCAGCACCGGCTTGGAACTAGTCCAAAAACTATGCCAGAATGAGTCCAAAACCAGTCCAGAACCATTCCAAAAGCAGTCCAAAAAGCACTTTAAAACTAATCCAACACCAGCATAAAACCAGTCCCAAACTAGTTCAAAAACTAGTCCAAAGACCAAACAAAAAGAGTCCAAAACTGGTTTAAAATCCACCATAAACCAAGAAAAAAAACAGTCCAGCACCGGCTTGGAACCAATCTAAAAACTAGGCCAGAATGAGTCTAAAACCTGTCAAAGATCACTCAAGAACTGGTCTAAAACCAGTCCAAAACCAGTCAAAGACCACTCAAAAACCAGTCTAGAATCAATGTCCAAACCTCATCACCTGAGCTCAGCATCGTCACGTCTCATTCGTCTGTGAAATCATTTTGGCTGCAGAAACTCAACCAGAGAATTTCTGCTACGACTGAATCTATGATAGAAGCTGGTCTGTGATCTCCACATCTCGGCTTTGATCTGATGGAAAACCAGCATCATAATCGGCTCCGGCGGGCAACTGGTCACGTTTGTTGGACATCAGAAAGTTAGAGGACGGACATTACGTTGATGGTTTTAAGCTGCACAGAGCAGATGGAAGATGTTTGGCATCGTATAGGTGATGTGGATGTCGTTGATGTACAGATGGTTTGTTCAGGGAAACGCAAAAGACAAAGAACATCTGTATTTCATTGATGGAAGTACCAATACCCAGATATGCTGGAATAAAATCCTCATGGCTGTTTGTCTTGTTCATTCGTCGCCATCACTGGAACAAAACAACACTCGTCCTCATGTTTGCAGAAACTTCAGCGTCCTTCTATCGGCTAAAATGCCCCTACAGACTCTTCAGATACCATCTGTGGACGCTCTGGATGGAAACGACATCCTACAAAATGTTCATCAACCGAGTCTTTCAGGAAGAGTCGGACAACTTTCACCAAACAGCATCGACAACCTTATGAACCCTCTGCGTCGGATTTCTGCTCGGTGTCAAAGTGAGGGGAACATCCTTAACGTTTTAAATCTGTGTTTTTAGGGCTTCTTGTTCGGACAGCGAGAAAGACGAACGTCTGCAGCAGCTGAGAGACGAACAGCAGCAGCAGCTTCTGGCTCTGAGGCAGGAACAGTACTACAGCCAGAAGTACCTGCAGAGGGAACACATCAAAACGGTAAAGACCAACCAAACAAACCAAACCTCAGCAGAAGACCCAACGTTACACTAAGTTACATCTGGATGATCCGTCCCAAGTTCCTGCTCTGTTGTAAAGAGTTTGTTTGACAAAATAACATTCCCACAATGCTAATGAAGCCAGAATTTTTCTTGCTTAGAGGAATTTTGATGCCCCAAATGATAAAGAAATGATTAAGAATAATACATTTAAAATCAGGTAAATCCATGATGAATATAACATCATCAACAAAAGCAAGAATTAAAATCTTAGCTGTGAGTTTAGGTGTTTTACACATAGTTCCCCACCACCCAGCTCCTACGGTTGGTAGTTCTACGTTGTAAAGGATCCAGTTTGAAGTAAATTCAGTGATTTTGTTTTTTTTAAAACACGAATGTAAAACGTTTGTTTCCTCCAGCTGACAGAACGTCTCACCAGTCTGGCCGAGGAGAGCCACAACACCCAGATGAAGAAACTCAAAGACATCTGTGACAAGTAAGATGAAAATCCGTGACTAAAGTCTCCCGAGACTAAAGAATCGCAGCGTTAAAGCTGTTTTCATAACCGCAGACACAATGAAGCGTCTGATTCATAGAGAGCGGATCAGACAAGAATTACAGAACCCGTATTCTGCACATTTGCAGGTGTGTAATTTTATTTTTGGAGTCTACTAGAATACATTTAGATGCCTCCATGTTTCTCCTGCTGTGTTTTGCTGCAGAACCTCGAGAGAGCGTAAAAAACTTTTTTTTTTTTGTGCACTTGCAATCAACTTCCTCTAATGCAACACTTCAAAATGTGCACAACATATGTTATAGAAGCATTGCTTGTCTGTGAGCTTTGAGGTTTGTAAGCGTGCAGATGTTTTACATGCACAAAAAACAACAACAAACCAGATGACAGAAAACCTCCACCCCACAAAAAGAAAAGCATCATATTGGCTCCATAGACTCTGGATGTTTCTGGATGTTTGGATATGAAGTCCTGCAGCTCTGTGGAAACAGGAGCACCATGAAGAAGGAGAGAGAACTCCGAGACGTCTTCTGTGACAGAAACGACAAAGTTAGAATGACAGATATTTTTGGTTATTTATTTTGCAAAAAAAATGGAAGAACTTGGACTCGACATTTCCAAACATGTCACAGGTGTTACCAGCACCGACTCCATTTACTGGAGATATTTACTTATTTTCTTCCTCATCTTCTCTCTGCTCGGTGCAAACTCTGCCTGCAGTTCAGCCAAGAAGTCCGTGAGTTTTTGCGATGTGACCATTTGTCACTAATGACTTCATGGTTGTGCCAAGAAGTGCAGATTTTTATTTATTTATTTTACAGAATCTGGTTCAAGCAAATGCTTTATTTTTGTCACATTTTTAAGTGAGACATAGAATAAAGTGATTTAAAAAAAAAAAAAAAATCATAATTTTAAGCACAGATTTGGTGATGTTTTCAGCCATGAGTGACTAATTTAAGAGCTGTTGCTGATTCTTTTCACAGTTTTGGGATGAAAACAATTGTAATTTTATAGATTTTATGAAATAGCATGGCTTTGTTTTTATTTTAAAAAGTTAAAAAGCTGCTTTTTGTGACTTAAGATTTGAAGAAGAGAGAACTTGCCACTAAATGCCAGTTGCATTTGTGCACAGATTGTTCTTTGGATTCTTGACTTAAGGTAAATTTGCCCTTTAAAAATGTGTTCTACATTATATTGAGTGTAGATTTTATTATTCTCTTTTACCAAACACAGCTCAGAAAGCGTAATAAAGGTTAGAACAGGTATTTTCACTCCCCCAACGTTCGCTTTAATCTTTCCTCCTGATGCTGCTGCAGGGAGAAGAAGGAGCTGAAGAGGCAGATGGATCGACGGAGAACAGAGAAGATCAACCAGGCGAAGACCAAAGAGAAACATCTGGCAGAGGAGTACGATCCATAAACACACAAACATTTATCCACCGCAGCTCAGCTCACACCTGCTGCAGCGACTTCAGCCGCTGATGCATCCAGTTACTGCTGTCAGAAGAGAAAAATGTTTATTCCAAACCCGACCGAGCTCAGCCCATCTGTCTGTGTGTTTCCAGGGAGAAGATTGAGATCAATAAGTCCTACGTCAACGAAGTCGTCCAGAACATAAAGCGGGTGAGCAGCAGGCGGCGAATCTGGGTTCAGGGAGTTTATCGAGGGCTTTTCTATAAACTGGAATCTGAAAGCGTTGCGGCTGCAGCGTCGCCTCCGTGTGTCTGCCGTAAAACGCTTCATAAAACTCTGTGATTGTCTGTTTTATCTTCAGCTCGAGGAGACTCAGACAAAACGCCACGACCAGCTGGTGGAGCAGCACAACGAGCTGCTGCAGGAGATACAGGACCAGAAACCAAAGGTACCACACGAATCAATCACTGAAGCCCATTGATTGTTGGAGTTATGTTCAATCAGTTGTGTTTCCGTCATTAGAAATCTACTGGGCAAATAAAGCTTCACTATAAATCTTGACTTTGGTGTTGTTATGAATGATTCGAGGCCTCGCTGTACAAATGTAAACGTTGTGTTTCAGTTTGTTGCGTCTTTCTGGTCCTTCCTCGGTGAAAGGCACCACTTTGCCCACTTTCATGCTCGGATGCGCTGCACAGCGAGAACTTTCTGGAGCGCTGAGCTCCAAGCTGGTGCTGCTGTCTGTGGTTCAACGCCCACACAGCTCGGCGTTGACGTCAGCGCTCGGCGTTTGAATGATGCAACGTGCCCTCTGGCAGCCATCTTAGAGCCGCTAAACTGTTGGCAGTAATGGCCGACAACAGCTGGTTGCTTTTTCTAAATGTGCAGCCCATCTGTCCCGACAGTAGGAGACAAACAAAGCGAATGTGTGTGTTGTTTTTAACTGGAGGGATGAGTCATCTCCGAATCTGTGTTCCTCAACTTGGTAGCTGCACAAATCGTCAGCAAAAGATCTGAGAGCGATGAGTTGCTTTACTGGGTCACCGACCAGGGGCGACTTCGGAAGTACAAATCAGAAGATCACAACAAAACCAAGAGACACAACTGAACTCTAGTCATTGTGTTGTTGTTTAGAGGTTTGTTGAAAACTATTTCAACATGAAGAAATGTCACGCTGACATACTTTAGTTTATTAACTACCTGCTATGCAAAGACCAGTGCTGTTAACGTTTTGGGTGATCGCTGTTCAAAATGGTGCAGCAGAAGAGATTCAGCAGATTGTTAAGGGAAGAAAAGTTCATCAATAAGCATCGTGAACTTGGGATATTGTTAGAAATACACATTCAGAGTTCATTTATGAGTTTAATATTTTGAATTCTAGCCTGTGTGATAATTTATCAAACTCATGGTGCAATAAAATCTGTTTTCTTTGTGACAACCTGTTGTCATATTTTAGTTTATTGATTAAATATAACGCTTCATTAATGTCACTGGTGCAAATCTCCTGCAGTAGAATGGAAAAATCTGTGAGATACAGAAGATTAATATGACAGAAAAAAATATTTGGACTTCAGTAAACGGATCACATTTTACAGTGAAATGATATCAAGCTTCTGTGGTTACCTGTAGCTCACCTGTCTGAAGAAGAGTCTGCAGTGTTATTGACTGTTAGATCCTGATCAGGTCTGTCTCCATGCAGGGTATAAATGATCAATATATTGATCCTGCTGGCATCTGATGCTGCAGGTATTAAATAAACTCAGAGGAAATATTTCCAAACAGCTGGAAGCAACAAACTAAACTCCAGCGTTTCCTTCGTTAACTAAAGCCACTGACATCTGAGTTCCAGTAAACACTAAACCTGACCTATCAGTCCCATTGGGGGCCAATCAGGCCGACCAGCCTCACTGCTTCATAGGTTTGTCCAGATTTACTTGCTTTCTGTTTATAATTCTCTGCACTTTTCGGCCTTTCCCTCCAAAAACACGAAACTCTCAAGTCTCCATAAGGCCGTCCTTGCTTTTGCTAGTCTAATGGCAGGATGCCTGATGTTTTTAAGTTAGAAATCTCCCCATCCACCCACTCGTATCAGCTGGGTGCCCGATTTGTTGATCTGCATTCACCTTGAAAAGACAGATTTCTTGTGGTTTTCCCACTTCTCCTCCATTAGTGTTGCTGAGATTACTCCCATTTTGTCATCAACCTCTTACATCTCTTAAAATCTATCTATATATGCTGTCATAATTATATCCTACAACTGATGATTAGTACAATTGCAAATGAGCATGATGAGTTAGTTTTGCTGTAACATACGTAACGTGAGTTATCGTCACAATGTTGAATCAAAAAGTAAAGAACACAGTTATAAATCAGTGTATCTCCCCTCGTGGTTGTGCAGCTGCAGGCCGCCGTGGAGGCAGAGTTCCAGGAGAAGTTCCAGTGTTTGCCCGGAGAGATCGAAGAGTTCCTGCAGGACAGGAAGGTGGAGGTCAGAGGTCACAGCAAGTCCAGACCGTCGACGCCCCACGAAGCTCTTTCTGAGGAGGACTGAAGGGAGCGAACGGACGAATCGAGGAGGGAACTGAGCAGAAGGTAGCGGGTTGATGTGCCGATGAGGGAGTAAATAATCCAGATTACAAAGACTGTTACTTTCCTTTTTAATGGAAGAACGCTTTAAGAATTTATTTTTCGATTCCATTTTCCTCGCATGAACTTTGCTGTACTTCAGCGTTTAATCATTTAGTCTTATTTTCTGTCATCTGTTACTTTGACAGACAACTGAAACCCAACAGTTTGTACTGCATGACAACTCTATCTATCAATCTATCTATCTATCTATTGATCTATCATCTATCTATCTATCTATCTATCTGATCACACATAAACTCGAGGCCTGTCTCTGTCTTATATACACATGCAGAGACGTTATACCTTCGACAGCTTTTGCGTTGGTCACAATCAGTGCTGATACACTTATAATATACAAGCATCACTGCTCTATTCTATAATTATCATTCTTCTTTTTTTTACTCACATTCGCACACATTCCTACGTGGAAAGCTGCACAATACGTCCACAGTCTGATCTGTCGGCTCAGCTGGAGGTGATGACTTTGCTCAAAGGCTCCTCGGCTTTGGCGGTGATGATGATAATCCGCCACATCTTGTTTGTTTGGAAAACTAAACTGCAGCTACAAAAGCTAACGTTGCGTAAGATACGAAGACGATGCAAACATCATAGCATCTGTTTTTAACGCTTAAACTCTCTCTGGTTGTCGATGAAACCCCTAAAAACTCATTTCTGTGTGTCAAAGTTACATATTTAGAAGGTTTTTTTTCATTAAATTACTCCCTTACAGCCTTAAAATGTCTTAACTCTACGCCATCGCTGTCCTCGCTGCAACCCGAGCACACCAGCTCTGTATGTTCAAACCAGAAACTGATTCTAAACAAAAACCATGATACAGAAAGCTGCAACCTTCAAGCTGACAGAACTGGTTCTTTAGGTTTGTTACGTATGAAACAAGACGTGTTTTTGTCATCGGCCATCAGTAGCCCTGGTGTTGGCTACTTGGTTTTTACTCATGAAATGTGAAAAAACACCACATGGGTGTGTTGGCGATGTAATTTTCACTTGAAGGCATCTTTACTTACTTCTTATGTAAATGTCAGACAGACTGTTTTAATGGCTTGAATTTTAAAAAATACAAAAACATACGAGGGTTGTTTGAACAGTTCAGAGACCGCCATTAAAAATCAGTCTGGTGTAAATTTGGCCGCCTACCCTGTTGAAGTTTTGTCCTGGTGCAGCGATGCTCTGCTCCCAGCGCTCCTGCAGCATCTACAGAGCTCCCTGGGAGTCTCCTTGTTCTGTGACGAGCGCCGAATCTCTCAACCTGTGTCAAAAGAGCGACTCTTCAGCTTGACTTTCATTTAGGAGAAGAAGGAAACCGGTGAGTTGTGGTTCTTTCACTGTGAAATCTGCTGTTTCTCCTCTGGATGGTAGCTGCAAACCCTCCACGCTTCACCGCTGCCACAGGAGTGATATCTGCCGACTGTGAAAGTCTCTGAACTTTTGATGAAGCCCCTTTCTTCAGCATTCAGAAAGTTTAAGTCGTCACGGCTGCCTCAAAGAACGACAATTCAAACCACAATCTGATTCTGAACCTTTAAACAGTTCTTAGAAGTCAAAATGTTTTCGTCATGACAGAACTGTTGTTTTTTTTTTAAATTATAGGGCCATGATTTTATGATACATCAGTGCATCTGCTGTCATGTAGTATTTCTATCATCCAGCCCTTTTTTGTGTGTGTGTGTGAAAGACAGTCAACCAAATAACAGGTGAGACTTTAACGAGGACTGAACCTTTATTCAGAGTGTCAGCGAGGACGTCGACGCACTTGTTGTAGAGTGGCTTTGAACAAAGAAATCCGCAGCGACTGAAAACCTGCCGGTACTTTGTATTACTTTGTACTGTGATCATTCAAGTAGATTGATTGATTATATACTTGTTTGTTTATGTATTTATTAATGAGATTTTTGGGAGAAAATGGAATCTGAATGGTGATTTTCTGCTAAAAAAAAAAAAGAGACTGTTAGCTGAAGACGTGTATGGACTTCCACAGAGAGACGTCGGGTCAAAGAACAAAACTCTTGCAGATTAGTCTGTTTTTGATGTCTATGTTTCTGTGCAGGTACACACTTAGTAACTCTGACCGCTTCATGAAAGGGTTGCAAGATAAAATTTCCAATTTATTGATTTAGATCAATCTTTTAAGTTGCAACGATATTTTGGTGGGTTCGGTTGCCATCATTTACTGATAATTTACTATAATAATTCTGGTAATTGCATCAACTTAACATTGTGTGTAATTTAAACTCAAATACGGTGATTTAAAACTAAATTCAAGTTGAGGTAATGGAATAAAATTGGCTTGATAACGTTATTTTTGAGGTCAGGATTTCAAGTCCTCCATTTTTACTTAACTTTTTTTTTTTTTAATTTGCCAAATTAAAACTCATAACTATTGCAATTTAACACAAAATACTTTAAAATTCTTTTAAACAAATCCAGAAATAATACTCGACACTTGTGTTTATGCCACCAGTCATTCAGTAAGTGGTAATTATGAAAACCTTGAGTTGTAGAGACAAACCTAATTCCTCTGACTCAGTGCAATTTGTTGGTATTTTCATTAGAAGTTGTCATGACTCAAAAAGATTGATGCAAAGTGTTGCTTTGATTTTTATTTTTGTTGTCGTTGAACCCAAATGCTAACGTTTTAGCAGCAACACTGGACTGCTGCACATTTGATGTGGCAGCTGGACGAGACAGGAAATCAAAAGTCTGCTGCCGCTGCATGACTTCTTCGTTTTGATGTGAAAATCAGACACAGTTTTGATGAATTTATCAGCTGTTATTTTCACAATATTTAAGGACATAATTTCTAAAGTGTTTTACTTTGTTGTAAAAAATGTAAAAGAGCTTGTCACTCTTTGTACAGTGATCTTCCAGAACAATATTCGCTGGAACATTTTTCATGACTTGTTTTTCTTCTGGACTAAGGCCTACGTTGCGTTCAACAACCTTTTTGCAGGGAACCTTTATTTCAAATTTACGTCGATTAAAGTTGAACGCTTTGGGACCACAGTCTGTACCTGACCTCGTAAAGGTAGCCTGCAGTGAAGCTTTCATGGCAATATATACACTCGGCGTGCAGAGTACCTCATCATTCACCAAATTATCAGTTTTAAACACGTTCAGATCTGCAGAGTGGCCGAGGTTCTCCAGCAAAAGCGCCTTGTTGAACGCACCCCTGCTTTAGCGACTATACTGAGCATGCTTTATTGTCTTGGATTTCTCCACCAGTTGAATTGTTTCTTGGTTTTGCTGAATGCTATTTTAAGACCAGTTGAAAGACTATTAAAGTATTTGATCTAAAAACGAGGTGTTGTTGCGTTTCTCGTGCTGGATATCTGAGCTGCTGCTGCTGCTGTGTTGACTTTACAGGAGAAGATGCACCGTCGAGGCGTGTCGGAGGAGGTAATTACTGCTGTCAGCCGCATCAACGTGAGCCCACCGACTTCCTGTTTGCCCACAAAACTTTGCTGCTGCTGCTGTGTGAGCGGGATAACGTGGGTTTTTGCAGAGGAGCGCTGAGGCTGTGGTGGGGGAGGAAGGTGGAGGAGGGTTTTCAAGCTGAGAGACAGTCTGTCACAGTGGATGTGTTGGACTGAATCTCTGCTCGTGGATTCAACAGAAAATCTAGAAAATATGCAAATCATTAACCAGAACACACATATTGTATTTAAAAAATTTTTATAATGTGGCTGATCTAATCATGTCTTCACCTACGAGTAGAATCTTTACCACAGAGGTGATTCTAGTGTTATTTCTAATTTTTGCACAACTTTCAGTAGAACCTAAATTTGTTCTAATCCTTAAAACTTTACTTTTAACATTTTGTCAAAACCCCAAAACTTTAGGTATAGATCTCAAACCAAAATACAAATTTCTGTGATAAGTATTCTGTGATTGTTTACATCTCGTCTGTAAAGTGACTCGGTGACATCATGGGCTCTTTAATCAGTCCTTCTGGTCTGAGAAGTGAAGTTTGTCATCCGTCAGATCAACCAAATGTTATTTTATTTAGTTTTCTTTGCAGAAACACCAACAAATTGTAATTGCACCAGCGTGAGGTAATTCACAGCTGTTACTCCTGAACAGACAGAGGAGAAAACAACAACCACCAAACACCAGTCTATCAGAGATGTTAATTAGAATCGTTGTGATAACGACAGTAAATACAAGCCAGTTATTGGTGGTGACACTTTCGTGCTGACTTTAGCCAAAGCTGGCACTGTTCAACAACAAAAAAGTCATGTTTTAGCAGCTGGGATGCAAAATTATTCCAGAAAATAATGGAAAATATTTATCTTGTATATCGTAAAACAAAAAGGAAACTAATTTGATCGATCTAGTTTTATTAGTTTTTTATTGATTCGTGGGTGCATTTAACGCTCTTTTTATGTAAGACAAAAGGAAACTTCACAGCTGTGGGTTTTTAATGTTATTTATAGACAAATGAAGTCACTGAATTATTGGTTCCTGTTTTGTTTCAATTAAGAGTAAAGCTGGTTTCTTGGCTTTGATTCTCCAAGTTTCATGAACTCTGGAAAGTGGGACAGTGGCGCCATCTATGCTTTGACCCCTGACCTGCTATATTACTCCTGATTTACAGCTTTTGAAAGACTTTGCAGCTGAATTGCAAAGATCGTCCTCCATTGGGGATTTCGCCTGTCCAGGTAAATGGTTTTCTCATTCCTTTTATTATTTTTTAAAGAGGATTGCCAGCAGATCAGGTACCAAAGTGCTGTCTTCCAACTGGATCCTGATGACAAAGTGGCTTTCAGTCCAGATTATGTCATCAAGAAGCTTTCTCAGCAATAATCTGTTGGTTCTCAGCTAGAAGAAGCTGTCAGCTGGGCTTCAAGGCACACCATTATCTAAACAGTTTAACTAGTTTAGAGCTTTTTTTTCATGCATTAACTCATCTCATTTAACCTTAAACAGCTTGTTGCATGTATTGTCTTTATTGATATCCATTCTATAATTGTGCAGACATTGAGTCCACAGAACATCTTGAACTAGAAATCTTTGTACAGTAGTCCAGAATTGTGCTGACAGTAAGATGTAAGTTGACTGCTTTCCTCAGAGAAAGAAACTTTCAGTTTGCATCAGAATAGATTGACTTGCTTCATCGATGGCGTAAGTTCAGGCACTTGGGAATACATTTTGGACGGCCTGGTATCCAGACTTGGGGTCAAAATTTGTTGTAATTTATGAAAGCATGCGATGTGATATATGTCACCACTGACATTAACAGTGTTAGGCAGAAATATCTGTACATATATTTTTAAAAAACCAACTAAATATTGCTCAACAAGTGACCCCAGTGATATCTCGGACAGAAATATTTCATTGCAGAATAGATATGATCACTCAGAATAGCATCGTATTGATTTGCAGTGAGACTTTCCTCTAAAAAGAACCGAACCACGTCACTGTCGGGGTTAACAGTTCAGGTTTTTGAACCACTTTCGCTAAATTTACAGCAGCTGAAGGCCTACACAAAGCTAAAACAGAAGTGAATATTGAATTTAGATTAAAAAGAAAAAATGACTCGAGAGATAACACAGTGCCCCATGTTTGCTTGGTCTGTAGAAATGCAGCTGTTTGCTTCATTTACCCGCTAAACTGTTGTGTTGTTAGCTTGATTCTTCTGCCCTCTAGTGGCTAAAAACAGAAAATGCCAAATTCATGTTAATCTTGTTTCATCTTGCACATATTCCAACAGAAACTACAAATACCACCTCAAAACCAAAATGCTTTATTATAGTTGCTGGTATTGTTTATATTTCGTGGGACTCTGTGTTGTCATGTGTTCTCTAATCAGTCCTTCAGATCTGAGACGTGAAGTTCGTCATCTGTCAGATTAATAGTCAGGTGTTGTTTTTGTATTGTTTCATTTGCAGGGACAGTGATAAACTGACATCGTACCAGACTTAACTAGCAGTTAATTTACAGCTGTTACCCCAGGACAAAAAATGAAACAGAAAAAAACAATCAACCACAGAACAGAACAGCAACCACAAATCCCCAACCAGTGTGAGATAATACACTTGGTAAAGTAAATATGACAAAGACAAGACAATCGCTGGTGGTGGCACATTATCTAACCTCAGTTGTACGTGAGACTGTGTGTATATGGATGGATGGATGGATAAGAACATATTTTACATTTGATCTTTTTTTTTTCATGATTTTTTGGGGCTGGAAATTACATAAACAAGTGACAAAATATAGTAAGACATTGTGGTCAAGATTTTAACAATACATTTTCGGCTATTTATAAAAACGTTCTTTATAGCTCATCATAAACCTGGAGTAGAGTTCACCAAAGGGCATGTGGGAGATGTTACATTCACCTGGAAGGAGGTTCTTCAGTCTAATGAGACTAAATTAAGCTTTTTTTCATCAAGCTAGACTCTATGTTTGGTGGACACTAAACATTGCACATCATCCCAAACACAACATTTCCACCATGAAGCACGGTGGTGGCATCATCATGATGTGAAGTACGGTGGTGGCACCTAAGACTTGGAGAAGACTTGTTTTCCAAGACAATGAGCCGAAGCAAACAGCCAAAGCTCCACAGAGATGGTTTAAAGACAACAAGGTGAATGTTCTGGAGGCCCAGTCAGAGTCCAGACTTTAGTCCAACTGACAATTAGTGTCTGGACTTGAAAAGTTCGGTTCACTCATGATCTTTGTGATGTCTGACAATACTTAGGACGTTTAACAAAAAAAAATTAGGTGAAATTGCAGCGTCCAGATGTTCAGGCTGATGGAGACGAACACAGGCTGGAGGCCAAAGGTGCATCTAATAAATAGTGACTGGGAGGTGTTGAATATTCATACAGTCGCTCAATTTATGCTTTTTATTTTTTATGAATTAGCATTGGTTTGTAGAAATCTGTTTTCACTTTGACGTGATGGAATCATTTTTTGTAAATTCTTGTCATGAAGCCAAATTAAATTGATGACAATTCAGTGTTGAAATGCAATAAAAAGGGGAAAACTGCTAAGAGAAGGTGAATAGTTTCATTAGGCACTGCACATATCTATTCTTTTGAGGTAATTTTATTGTTTTTACTCATTAATGTCCTTCATTAACAATTAAGCAGCTCAAAATGCATGAACTCATTTAAAAAGTAATAATAACAACAAAAAAAAACCTTAAAGCTACAACATGTATAAATGTATTTCAAATATGTTAAGACTGAATTTTTTTAAATTGAGATATTTATTTCTATTAGTGTTTTTTTTTCAGTGCACATGCTATAGAAAGGCAATGATCCCAAACATTGTTCTCCATCATTAACATGTTCAACATGACGTCTTTTGCTGTTTGTTGCAGCCACGAGACACCTGCTGGGTAAACAAAGATTCACTTCAAACCAAAATGTGGAATGGCTATAAATAATTCTGGGCTCAGCTGCTTCATCTTCTGTGATTCACATTCAGTTTGGATGTTTGACTTCACCTGCACCGGTCGGCTGTTGTTCCTCTTCTGTCCAGCAGATGGCGCCACCGAGCCCCGGGTGACCTTCCTCCGCGGCCGTCGAAGAAGAGCTGCAGCCCCTCAGCATCAGCACCAGCAGAGACGTCTCCCCTCATCTCCGCTCCGCTCCGCTTCTCCGTCCACTGCGGAACATCGGCCCGTTTTCCTCCCATCCCTCCTCCAGCGGCAGACCCAGCTCGCCATGGACAACTCCGGCAAAGAGAAGGAGGCCATGCAGCTGATGGCCGACGCCGACAAGAAGGTCAAAGCGTCCGGATCCTTCCTCGGAGGGATGTTCGGGTAAAGGATGCTCTTCTCTGTTTACCAGCGTCGCTCATTTTGGTTTGATGGGGGAGGGCTTCCTGGGCGCAGGGCCCGTCAGAGCCTGACCGGACCGCTGTGTTATTTATTCCTGCTCTGGCTGCACCACAGGCGGCTCTGGTGCATCCTCATTAAACTCTGCTTTCACCGCTTTCGTGTTTTGCATCGTGATCCGTCCTTACATCCGTGCAGGAGCTGTAACTTTCATCGTGACATTGTCTGCTTTTGACGTGTTATTTCGCAGCGCCACAGCGGTGCGGGGAATGCGGGCTGTCGGTGTGGCCTTCGTGTCAGACTGTGAGTGATGTGAGCGGCTCCGAGGCAGCGTGAGGCCGAGCAGAGGATGCAGGGAGGCGGGCAGAGCAGCGCAGTCAGGACGGCGGGGATGCGGGGGACGAGTGTGTGTCTGTGTGTGTCATTGTGTAGGTGTGGAGACCAGCCCTGACATAACATCTGTGTTTTAAGGATATTTGTAGTTGTGAGGGTGTTTTGCAAGACAATGCTAGGACAGACTGCTTGGGCCATAATGAACGTGATAAAGATGTGTGTGTGTGTGTGTGTGTGTGTGTGTGTGTGTGTGTGTGTGTGTGTGTGTGTGTGGATGGGAGTGGGCTCGTGGCCTTCCTATGTGTGGGAGGGGCTGATGTTTACAAGTAAAATGGAAACACAAATGGAGTA